ATCTATTTTTATTTATTTCTTTCTAATTCTTCTTATCTAGATAAATATTTTTATTAATTACATCCATAAAAATAATTGAAAGATCTTTCTTGACTTGACATTCTTGTTATTATATAAAAAATTAACATATCATATGAACTTGTATAAGTTTGTGAAAAAATAAGAAGATTGGAAGAATTTGTTTAAAGAGATTAAAAATTGAAGTTGAAGGTAGAAGAATTAGATCAAGGTATTTGAATATAATTCAAAATGTTGCAACTGCAATTTCATTTGTTGTATAATAATTTTATTTACAATGAGTAGTTTTATTTGTAGTGCACAATTTCATTTATACTATTGTTTTAAAGTGCTAACTTTAAAACTCCAAATTTGAAAGTCTTACATGTCCAAATTGAATAAACTTTGAACTTCTTTAATATAGAATTTTGTGAGTAATTCAACAATGTAGTTGGTTTAGCAATTATATTTCAATGTCAACCTTAAATGATGGTTTGTATGGATTAAATGATATTTTTGAATAATTTGTTTTTAAAATTTGCATAAATATTAGATATAAAAGCTTAAAGAGGCACTTTTGAGGGTCTTTTTTTTATTTTATTACAAATTTTTTTACTTGTGCTTATCCAAAGTAAGTGTATATTGATGGCTTTAATTCATCATTTTGAATTTTGTACTTTATTGTTAAAAAAAGATTCAATTTTTATTTTTGGATTATATTTTGGTACAATTTCTTAATAGCAAGTATAGTTGCAATTTTTTTTTAGTGTTGTATTGTAACATGTATATTAAATGAATTAAAAAAATATATATATTATAAAAGAACTTAATTAAAGACTTAGAAAAAAAATAATATAAATATCTATGATTCTTAAATAAATCATTTAAGAATTATAGATAAAAGATAAGAAGAAGTAGAAAAATAATGTGTATATTGATATTTTTATTAAAAGACCTTGTATTAATTTTTAAAGCCATAAACAAAGCAAAACAAGGTAGATTAGCAAAAAAAAATACCTATATTATTAATCAAGGTAGAAACCAAATCCTAAAGCACAAAACCAAGGACATAGAATAGATTAAGGATCCTTTTAATGGTTAGAAAGAGTTTTATAGAGCAAAATTTATAGTATTTTTTTGAATGTTAATTTTGGGTGATTTGAATTTGCAATAATTTTATAAAAACTATGCAAAATAATGGTTAAATTTGGAAGATTTTGTTTTTATAATTTGAGTATAAATAAGGATTTTTCAGAATTTTAAGTATTTTTTGGTAGGATTGAAGTAAAACTTTGGTTAGAATTTAGTTAAGATTTGATTAGCATATAGTTAAAATTTGATTAAGATATCTTTAGGATTGATTAGGATTTATTAAAGCTTGATTAGGATTTGTTTTTTAGGATATAATTAGAATTGATAAAATTCAATTTGATTTATTTAGTATTTAAATAGAATTGATAGAAAAATTAGGTTTATTTAAAGTTTTGTTTTGATTTAATAGGATTTTTGATTAGTTATAAAATACAAATTTATTGTCTATAAGCAAGTATTTAGTGTATTTCTAAATAAGATAATACATAATATGATACTAGTGTTGCTTTATTTTATATTGTATTATTATGTATTAGGATATTATAGGAATGAGTTTGGATTAATGGTTAGTATAAACTTTTTATGGAATAATGCTTGAACTTGTGATTCAAAATTAACAATCAATAAATTATAAAGTTTGATGGTGATTTTAGGTATATTTTGTATTTTTATTCTTGAGATAGTTGCAAGTTTTTAGTGGTTAAGTTTATAGTGCATGCCAAATAATTTGGCTCCGAATAAATAATTTATATATATATATGTATATATATATATATATATGTATAACTTGATAGAAAGTGAGAGATGGGAGACAAAGAAAAGGAGGACGAAGGGAGAAAGGAGAGAGAGAGAAAGAGAAAGAGAAAGAGAGAGAGGAGGAGGAGAAGGAAAGATTGATTGATCCTTGAAAAAACTAAAGAACATGTTGGATACATGCCTAATTGACTAAGGGTATTGGTTGTAGTACTTAAAAATAGGAGTCTTAAATAAACTATTAAGTGATACAAATCTAATATAATAATTTTTGAATTATAATTTGTAATATTTTAACTAAGATTGTAATTGTATTATATTTTTGAAACTTGTTGTTTGGTTGTGAATGTATTTATGAGATTGGTTTATTGATTGAAGTACTTCTAAAGTCCTAATAAGTTTCTTTCAATGCATACAATGATTAAACAAACATCTCAAGTTTTAAATTCCTAGCCAAGTTGATATAGAAAAGATGAGTTAGTAACATTGTTGTCTTAATTATTGTATATAACTTGATAGGAAAAATATCTAATTAAGTATTATTAAATTGTATATGGCTATAACTTGGGACTTGAAAAATTAAAAAAACATGCAATTTAGAATTTTTTTTGGAATGAAATTATATATTTTTTAAGTACAAAGCATACATATAACAAAGTTGTAATATTAGAATTTGAATAAACCATCAAAAAAGAACTTGTCTTAAATTAAATATAATATAAATGGAAGAGATATGACTTTGCATTGATTTGATTACAATATGTTCCAAAAAAATCCAAAGTTACTACAAATATGACTAATTATTTTTTTCCTAGTGACTTGCAAGTTCACTACTTGATTATTGATGAAACAAATATTTGAATATTCTTTAGTGCTTATATACTTGTTGTACTTTGAGAGTATTGTCTATTATGTATACTTCACATTGTGTGCATTTTGGTCCTAATTAATTAAAAGGGCTTCTAATCTTTTAGAAGAAGTATTTGAAGATGTATTTATCATGTATTTTTTATTGATATATAATTGCATATTTTATGTTGGTTCAAAGTATTCAATTAGTAGAATATAACAATCTTTATTTACATAAGAATTGTCATTATATGTGACATTAGGTACCAAGCTATGTGTAATCAATGTTATAATAGATTGATTTATGTTTACTAGTTTACTTTTTATATTTTTATCTTTCATCAAATTTTTAATTTTTCATCTATTTTACCATTTTTTATCAAATGAATGATTTTATCCACTTATAATTTAAAGGTATAATAGAAAAACCTTTCTTGACTTGGTGTCTTTGTTAAGTCAAGTTTTGTGAATAATTTAAAGAGCTTGTTGTTGTTAATTCTACTAAAAGATGTAGTTTTGCTACAAGATGATGGTTTAGCTATGTAGTAAAGCTTAATACTTTTTACATAGATTTGCATTCTTTGATTCTCTTGTGGTGGAGTGAAAGATGTTTGACTTATCTTGTCATTACTCATTTCTCCTTGAGGGTGTATTTGTTATGCAATTTTGATTAGTATATGGTTATATATTTGAGATTTGTTTATAACACTTGATTTGTTGTATATGAAATTTTTATTTACTTAATAGCATTATTGATCATTTTTTATCAGATGGATAATTTGGCATTTACTTTTGCCAAAATTAAACAAATAGAATTAGATTTCTCTATCTTAAAATAAAAAAAGACTCAAATTACAAATTTGTAAGTAACCTATTCTTTGAGGTGGTTTTCTATAGAAGAGTAGTACAAAAAATATATGACCTCAATTTTATATATGCTATTAATAAAATAGATTGGCCTACCACAATTAGCTTTAATGTGGTAATTGTGGCATTATTTATGGAGCCTAATGTAAATTGATGTATAATATTTTAAATATATCTTGTTAAGTTCATATTACATTGGCATGCTTCTAGTTTATTGGAATAGTTATATTGATTAAATATAAAAATATAAAAATATTTTAAAATATCTGGAATATTTTATATTATCAATATTTTTACATGGGTGAAAAAAAAATCCAATATACTGAATAATTAGTAATGAAATGTTTTTATAACTCTTCAAACTAACTTCTGAATATAACAATCATAGTAATAAAGCAAGTAGAACATTAATATTTTCAGCATTTTAAAGATGTAAAAATATATACCTTATGTAGTTTATATACTATTTAGAAAATAACATATAAAACAACATGTACGATATTCAAGACAGAAAAATTAAATAAATTAAAATTAAATCAAAAATTAGATATATATATATATATATATATACACACACTCCAATACAAGCTTTTTGGTTGCATTATGTTTATTGCAACAATAATCCTATAGATAAAACTTTAAAAATAAACTAATAATCATATAAAAATTAGAAGATATATATATATTTTTTGCATGCATTGATGGTTGGGCAACAACGTTTATTTTTGTATTATTGTATCATATGCTACAGAAAGAAAAGATAGACATATTTCTAAAAACATTCTTTTATTGGCACAAAATTTGCAAATTTTTTCTTCTCTGTTGGCAAACTTGGATTTTACTACTTGAGTATCCATAATGCATGGTTGCCTTTATGAGAGGGAGAGAAATATCACCTCTCCTTCCACTATGCTTACAATATGTTCCCCATTTCTAAAGCTCAGGCCCATTTCAAATAATCCAGTCAAATAAATAGAGAGGCAATATAGCAAAATTTAGCAAGGCCCCTAAGACCGTGTTTGTGGTCATGAAGGTTGTAACCAAGATGCAGCCATAAAGCAGGATTAGGTCACGGGATGAGCTTAAAAACGCCGGCTTGAGCATTCTCGCAACGTGATCACGCAACGAAACACGACACGAGTCCAAGCTCGCAGCGCTCGCAGGGCCATCCAAAGGCTTTCTGACGTTGGTGGGTCATTGCTAGAAAGCGAGCATTGCTTTGATTTACACAATAACCAACATCGTCACGCTTTTTCCGTCTGATGTTGGGGTCATAAAAATTTCGAATGTGATCATGTTTCCGGATTTTTGATAGGGATGAAGGGTTTTAGTCCGTTGAGAGTTACTCCCAAGTTGATGTCCGACACGTGCTGGAATCGAGATGCAGAGTTACCGCACGGGATTCTGAAGAGTGGGAATGTTACTTTTTTCTGTATGTAGGTTTATTTGAGCTGGGGATTCTGTAGCTTGCTAGCTTCTCGGCATCTGCTGCCATGGACTGTGTGCCCTGTCCTTTCTGCCTCCATCAACTTTTCTCTTGGGACGGGAATCTGGATTAGCAAAGCCGCGGAGCTTGTGTGTTGGAATGAAAACCATAATGCACTCTGCCATTCTACATCCGGATGCACTCCATCTTCCCTCTCCGATTCGGCGTTCTTTCATGGCTTCTGCCGATCCTGGCGCTCCCGTACTTCTTCCCACCTTCTTGTGCCGTCCTTGCCGCACGCTGCCCCTGTAAGCATCGGGCCTCAGTCTAGGCTCAGCTTCCAATCTTCCGCATGCGGGAGGCTCTCGATTCGACTCGCAGGGCTGGCTCAAGTGAAACCCACTTTCGCTCCAGCCTCGTTTCGGCCAATGGCTGCCTTCTCATCCCGTGCTGCGAAGTCTTTAAATGGAGGTGCTGCTTGTAGAGCTACAGATCGGAATGGCAACTTTCTGGAACAGGGACGCGAATTTGAGGGTGTTTCCTCTGTTGCTCCGAGGAGTGTAGAATTTCTGAAGTCCACAGTTTCGCATGGAAGTAATTTTGTGCGTGACAATGTGGGAAGCATAGATGTGATCGTAGGTCCCATGTTCGCCGGAAAAACCACAGCTCTCTTACAACGCGTTCGCAAGGAAGTTGATGCTGGCAGGTACTCACAATCATCTTTTAAAAGAAGATCCTCATCAGAATTACTTCCAATATCTTCCTCAGCAGATACTGACGCTGGTCTGGGCTCATGCCACGTTGACTACTTGATACACTTTTGTTTCTCCTTTTGATTGTTCTTGGGTGCGTTGCAAATTATCAACTTGTCCAAGCGATCGAGCGTGGAGATGCTTTTGAGGTCGTCTCCTGTTATTCTTCTAGGTTATTTTGATTTCCAAGTAGCTGAATTTGAGAACTCCGTCTCTAAAATCCACTATTGGTTATCTGTGTTCCTTCATATCGTCGATCTATGAACTTCGGGACATGGTCTCTTTTTGACAACGTTGAGGGGGCATTGATCGCAGGAAGGCAAGTTTAGTGAAATCGGACAAAGATAATAGATACGCTGTTTCAGCGGTTGTCTCACACGACGGGATTCAAATGCCATGCGTGGCCGTCCCAAATCTTGCAAAGTTTAGGGAGCGTGTTGGGGAAGAGGCATACAAACAGGTTAGCCTAGCTATCAAAGGATCTCTTTTGATTTTGTCATATCTCTAAGATGCGTTCTTCTTGATTGATGACTGTCAATTCTAGATATCAGGGGTTTCGATTTTATAGCAATTGCTGGCGGATTCACCTTGCATTGTTTGCTAAATGTCGGTATTCTATCCACACATCTTACACAGATAGAGGTTATTGGAATCGACGAGGCACAGTTTTTCGATGATCTGCTAGAGTTTTGTCAAAGTGCTGCCGACGTTGACCACAAAACAATTATCGTTGCTGGACTTGATGGTGACTTTCTGAGGTATGTCGTGGAAATTTTCAAGCACCTCAACGGAATCCAGTCTCGTGGGCTACCGTCTCATGGCTGGGGCGCATCAGTCTTATTCTTGCGTTTTGGGTAATCGTAATCAATTATGTTGGTGCTGTAAGTCCTCATGGTTGATACACAGCAGGATTTTAAAACGTTTCGCAGACGCAGATTTGGGTTTGTACTGGATCTTATACCTTTGGCAGACTCGGTGACGAAGCTTCACGCACGTTGTGAGCTCTGCAATCAACCTGCTCCATTCACCTTCCGCAAGACTGTCGACACCGAGACTGAGGTTATAGGAGGCGTGGATGTCTACATGCCAGTATGTCGACAACATTTTTTTAGTGGAAAAAATGCTGTCGAAATTGCTCGCAGTGTGCTACAGATCCATCACGATCCTAGACAATCAACACCAACTGCAGCTAACGATTTGGAAGCTAAATCCTTGCAGACCACCAACTCCAGAGCAGTATAGTGCATCTAGCTTCCGCTTACTCTAGAAGTGGTTTGCTGCTGATCAGGATGCAACATGGGACAGCCTGAGGCTGACAATTGAGACTACATATTCCACCGTGTCCTGAATGAAATTTGAGTCTTACAGAAAGGTTGGTAAACCTGCCTTGGACGAGGAGAGAAGAATGTTCGGATTACAGCTGAAAATCTGGCACGCACTGTATCTCTGCAGGAAAATCTCAGGTTTGAACTCATATTAACTTTCTTCAAGGTTGTGCTGTGAGGTTGCAGGGAAACAGTGACTTGTTCAGGTTCTTCAAACATTGTCTTATTTTGGGGGAAAGTAAAGCAAACTGGGTGTGATAGTGAATTAAAAGAAATTTGGAACCTTGGAGAGCCATGTTAGGAATGCACTGGTGAACCTTCGACTCATTCTTGCCAATGTGGTTGGATGTATTTGTTTGTACATGAATGTTTTTTACTAAATAATTTTGGAACAGCTTCAAACCAAGTTTTGCATGTGAAACAAGGTTTTGTGTGTACGTTTGTGTGTGTTTTTTTCTTCTTTTATTTAAATTATTAATTTATTTAGGTTTTGTTTAAAATATCATTTTAGAACCTTACAATATTTTGATGAGTGTAGATGGGAGCAATACATACTTTTAGAATTTGACACATAATCTGTCTATTTGTAAATCTTCTTAAACTAAATATGTATTGTTTTGTATTTTTGAGATTCTTGAAGTAAATCAAACTGATGTTTATTAAGCCGAAAGTCTTTAAACATCAGTTTTAGTGGAGATTGACTTTTTTAAGTATGCCTAAAACAATGTACACCAGTAATAATAAAAATTAGAATTTTATGTGTATGTATACATACAAAAATTTATTTACAAATAAATGATCTTTAAAAAGATCTTCTGAACACAATCAATATAAAATAAAAAATAATATTCTAAAATATAAATTATAATTTCACTGGCATAATAATTAATACCAAAAAAATTAAATAGTAAATTAAATTTCAAAAACATTATTTTATATTATAATTTCTAGACTAATTTAGTTATATTTATAAATGATAACCAAGGCCCTAATAATTGTATTCTACATGCTATTTTTAAAGGTTATACTATTTTTTAAATTAATGTAAAGAATAAATATTCAAAAAACTTCCATACATCATTTTTTATTGGTGCATATTAGTTTGTATAAAAAACAGGTGGCTCAAATTTTTTATCATAAATATTTTTTTGATTTTTTAATTTTTATTATATTAATATATTTATTGTGTTATTATTCTAATTTGAACCACATGTATTTTGTAACATCTTCATTATTTTTTGTTTTTTTTAAAATATAAAATTTTGCTTTTATATTTATTAAATATTTATAAATATGTAAATATATGTGGAGTGAATTATTAATGCTACATCTCCATATCATATTACAACACCCTACATGACCTCTATGTAATTTAAATTGATTGAAAAGTACGCTTCTATACTTAAGGCATATTTGGCAACTCAACATTTAATCCTTGTATTGATCCAAAAATTTAATAAATATATTTTTTGTGTATTTAGCAATAATATATATATATATATATATATATATTTATACTTTTAAATTAAGTATTTTCAAATTAAATTTTCTATTTTAAAAAATACAACTTTCAACCTATTTTTTCATAAAATATTCATTGTCTCCTTCTCAACCACCATCTTTTTTTAAAACCAAAAAAAGAAACAAATGTACAAAAGAAGGAGCCATATAATCAGCTAATTATCTATAGAGATGTCGCAAAGAGTGTAGTAAGATCATTTGGAAATGTAGCATTAACAATTTATATATATATATATATATATATATATATAGCCTAAATTCTTTATAGTTGTATTTAGATTTTTTGACTTTGGCTTTAGTTTCTTTTGTAATATTATTTTTTCTTTTTATATAAAAATTGTGTAAAAATCTAATATTTAAATGCATTACCTATTACTCAAATAGTTTAAATCTTAATAGTTTGAATATGAGAATTTGTGTAAGGATTTCTTTTTAATAACATTGAAAACCATGAGAAGGACTTTAATTCATTATTCATTGTTATACCATCTTCTTTTTTATTATTGCAAATATGACCTATTTTGAGAGGTCAAATACAAAAATATTGTTTCTTCATGACCAATAGCAAGAAATTAATTCTCAATATAAAAAATTTAAATAAAATGATACATTGAAATTGTGTGTGTGTGTGTGTGTGTGTGTGTATAAATATAATTTTAACTTTTTTTCTTTTATATATAAGAATAAAAATTTTAAATCATCATTTTTTTTTATGTTTTTGAGTTTTACAAACATACCTAAAATATAAAACTTACACAAAAATTTGTTAAATTTGTTATCCAAATAGTCTTAAGAGTTTTTAATTTATATAATATTATTGATAATGAAGCTTCTATGAAAATTTTTTCTTTAAATGAATTTGTGTTATAACAAAAAAAAAAAAAAAAAAAAAAAAAAAAAAAAATGATCTCAAAAATTGAAGTTATCATTTTAAAGTTATACATAAACTATAGTTAAAACACATTAACTTGAATTTATATATTTACATATCAACATGATTATATTAGACTATTAAAAATAATATTTTTATGAATACTAGAAATATCTTTTATTCTAACATCTACAAATGAATAATGTATACATAGATAAAACTTATTTCAAATGATTGATACAAAATGTGCTATGATTAATATTCATATAAAAAAAAATATTAATAAATTCTATTTTATTATGTAAAAATATTATGATTAAATTGAGCTTTAAGAGTTTAAAAATATCATTAAGTTTTAGAATCAAATAAAATATTTTGAATACATTTATATACATTAATGAATATAAATTAGAATTATATTATAATATATATGACATAAACTTAATGTAATATTATATATATATATATATATATATATATATAATAATTTAAAATACACAAGTATGAAATTTTATAATAAATAATATATTATTTAAATCTTTATATTACTACTTTTTATAATTAGAATTTTGTTAATGCCACCACAATTTTTATTTTTGCCACCACAATCCACTACCCACTCAACATAATGTTTTAGTTTTTATTCCAATAAGAAAATTTGTCAAGAATTCCACTATATATATATATATATTGGAATTCTTGACAATTTTTCTTATTGGAATAAAAACTATATATATATATATATATATATATATATATAGTTGACAAAAATATTCTTATTTTTAAAATTTTATAATTATTTTTACATATTTCTTAAGAAATATCTTGAATACAATAAATTTAAATTTAGGATCTTCAGCCTTATAATATTTTTCTTTATCCCCGTCATAATATCTTAAATTTATTATTTGATTTTGCACTTTATCTTTAGTATTTTTTCCATATGTGTAACATTGTCTTATACCCTAAACATTAGTTAATTCTCTCAAAAATTTGCAACATAATGTTTTTCAATTATTATATATCTCAGATAAAAGTGGGTTGATTTCAATACCATTATGGAGCAGATAAATGATTACTTTGCGTGCTAATAACCTTATTGTCATTTGTGTAAAACCATTTACAAAAATGTTTTTATTGCAGATGCATATAACATGCATATTCATATGTTTTAGTTTGCAAAATTTTCATTTGAAAATATTGCTGCATATAAAGGATTGTGTTTGCTATTCCCTGTCAAGCAATATGCAACCTGCTTTCTTTTGTTCTGTTTATTTATTTTTCTTTTCTTTTTCAACAGCAGTCTAATGGATACAACCGTAGCTGCTTAAAAGTAACCGTTAGATTTGCATCAGAAAAGCAAAGAATGTGATACAAAGTTTTTTTTCTTAAAATCATTAAAAAAAATTAACTCAAAGTATAATATTCTGATGTCACAACTGAATTGTTCTTTAGGCATGATGAATATTTGTAAATCATTTCCATGTTACATGATGATTTTAAAAATATTGCATAAGATTTGATAGATCAATTTATATAGAACAAAAATTAGGGTTAGTTATAGCTAAGTTGATTGTATTAAAAAAATAGAATATTTGAATTATAAAATTTTGAAATTACATATTTAAGGAGTTTGGAGTGTTTTTTAAGAAAAGATTTGGAGTTGAAGTTTGGGTGCATGAATGGTTAGTGTTCGGATGGGAATTATTTTGGACACAAGAACCAAATGGAAGACACAAAAATGGGGGTGATGTTTGATTCTCTCTTGGTGTAGCTTCAAATGTTTGTGAATACCCTTGTAAACTATCTACATGGAATGTTGAACATTTAGAACAATTAGAGAGAGGCCTTGGAGCACTAAAATTAAAATAAGATGGCTTAGAAGGTTGTGCATTTTTAGATTTGGCTTCATTCTTGCTATTCCTCAAAACTTCTTTTATCATTTCACAATCACCATAAGTAGTGGGTGGTGGTGATTGAGGAGACAATTGCATACTTGTTAATGAAAGAAGTGGTGACTTTGACATGATAGTAGAAATGTTGGTAGAATACAACAATTCTTCCCCACCTCTATTCACATGAGAGTTTTTTGTTTCTTCTTCACTTGATGAAAAATGAGCCCCACTTGTGCAACCAAATTCTTTAGATGATTCAAGTTGTGGAGGATTAGAATCCAAGGAATGATGAATTTGAGCAATCTCACAACTGTAGGGATTGTGAAAAGGCTTATGAGAAGCAAAAGGAATTTGCTTATTTGGATGAGTGAGTGAATGTAGAAGTGGCGGTTCAGACATTGAGCTATTCAATGTTTTGGTGAGCAGAGGAGGAGATGGGAGCACCGGCGTTGGACAACTTGAACTTAAACTCTTCGGAGGTGAAGCATAAAGAGTAGAGAAGCTAAAACATGAAGGAAGCATGGATTTCGAATCCAAGCTAGAGCTAGAAGCAGATGGAGGAATGCTCACGCTCGACGAGGGATTCACAGACAGACAGGAATTCAGACGCTGTTTAGAGGAAGACCGATGACGCGAGGGCTGGGAAGCAGTGATCACAGCATGTGACTTCTTCGAGGCTCCAGGCTCTAGAGCTCGAGAAAAACAGTCACGCGCTGAGTCTGCGAGCCTAGAATCGGGAGGCGTGACTGGACCAGACTGTGCACAGCTACCGTCATCTCGCTTGGCAAACGAGGGGACTCTCGTGCGCATGGGACTGGAGTCAAGACGTATGAAGCAATCGCTCGTTGATGGACGAGGACGAGGACCACCACCACCAGTAGCACAACCCAACCCTAATTGGGACCGAGGCGTTTGGAAACAGCGGAGACGAGGAGTGGAGGGAGTCGACGACGGTGGACGACGCAACGACTCCTCCTCATTATCAGCAAGACCCGAACCCGACGCTTCCGACAAGGTGGAAGCAGGAGCGGGCTTCGACGACGTCGAGTTCGAAGCGGATTGGAGACACGCAGGCAACTGGGTTCGGTCGTGAGGGGGAGAGCAGGACCGGCAGAAAAAGACCTGGTTTTGAAGCTTGGGGGGACTACGACGAGGAGTTGAAGCAGTCTCAGGATCAGGATCTTCCTTCAACACCGCAGCAGCATTGTCGCCATTCATCAACACAGCAGCACCAGCACCAGCATCTGATGCAGCGATTCTTTCGATGCTGGGGCAATCCCAAGTTGTAGCTGTGGATTGAGGAGGAGGCACTACTATTACAACTCCTGCTGTTGCTG